ACACCTGCACTCCAAGTGAAGGTTTTCAAATTTTTGTTTTCAACAACACTGAAAAAAGTCCTAATTGAGTTGTCATGCAATGGGTCATACAAAACCATTTTTGTAATGTAATCGGATTTTTGGCATGTAGTTGGTAAAGGGTCAAAAACCTGAATGATACTGCTAGATATTTAAAAACCCCCACAAGACTCCTACTCCCATCTGCCTATTAATGTGAGTAAGGTTTCTTAATCTTTGAATCTATTAAGAAATAAAAACATGACTGTTACTGAAAACCCTGTCTTATTCTAGTAATACATGAAATTCATTCTCAGGAGCCTATGTCAATTGGAAAAATATATTTGACTATAAATATAAACTTTTATATTCATTGCTGTTTTAAAATGACTTTGTTGAAGAATGCTCAGACAACAATGTGTGGCTTGTCACTAAAACAAAGTTCTATTTCTTCATGTAAGCAACACTATGTAAGAGGTCACAGAGTTATAAGCTTCTTTCTATACTGGAATTCTCTGACAGTATAGAACAGTGAAATCATTTCTGCAACAGAATTCTTTTCTATGCTTCTCCTGCATAAGTGAGAATACCAGAAGTTGGAATTTAAAATGTCAATATTTGCTATTCATCTTATAGTGCTGGAGTCTGTGTTTTTACCACCACATGTTACAATTTCTACTTTATCCACTTTAATAAGTCTGAATTCAACATGAGTTGACACAGAAAAGGCCACACATTATCTCTAAATTTGTAGGCACTTAGAGAGCCCCCGAAGATGTCTCTGAGCCAGTGCTGACTTTGTAGCAGTATCAAACTGCAGGAGAAGTGGAGAGCCAACAGGGGTGATATGCTGAGACTGTATGTGCTCACTGAGGTGCTCCAGGAGACTGTTTCTCAAAGTGGCATTTCAGTGTAATTGATAAGCTTTGGTGGAGGAGAAACAAATTATTTTTTCTGATTCAGGCTGGCACTGATATATGATGGGGAAGGCACTTTCCATCATGGAACAGACAGAAGTATCCAGAAGCCTACTTCCTGGACCACCTCTCAGCACTGCTTTTATGCTAGCGTTTTCATAAATTTTGTTATGCTTAGTTTCATTATATATACTCATATCTTAAGATTAAATTGATGCAAAGAAATCTTTAGTACTAAAATCCTATGATTATAGGACATAAATGATCATTTTATGTGTAATATGGTGATAGCACAATATAAGATAATAAGTAGAAGAGTTTCAAAGATAAAAAATTAAGTTAGGGTAATATTCTAGAGCAAATATACAAGACGAATAGAAGTTAAAGGAGTAACTAGAACTATAAACTTCTCAAATCAGAAGTAACATCTTGCTCTTATTTTTATTTAATGAATGATAGTATTCAAGTCACTATGGTATTTGGTTCTACTGGATAACTTTAAGAGACGGGTATAACACTTCCACTTTTAAAAAAAATAGCATGTGTAAAAACTTTTTCGTCTTCTATAATACTCCAACATTAATATCTGCTCCCAAGACACATAGCAAAAAGAGGGTCAAATTTTGGGCCTGGGGCCTACCCGGCTTTGCTATTGCTAATCCTGGCTGCCAAAGTCATTAAATCTCATCATCCAGGACCTAACTTCCAGGTGAATCCTGCTGAAATGTCCAAAGGGGTTGGAATGAAGAGAAAGAAGAAAACAGAGAAAACAAGACAATGGGATTAGAGTCCTTCAACAAAAGGGCAATGGCAGTAAGGAAACAAGGAACAAAGGCTTCAAACTATTAACCGATATTGGTGTTAAATTCTGAGCTGGGAATTTACCTGGTAAACACTCCAGTCACAAAGAGATTTAGGATTGAATTCCAGTTATGTAAAGTATTAATTTCAAGTGGTATAAACTAACATTCTGGTTAATGTAATCCTGTCCAAAACAGATTGGGAGGAAAAAGAAAAGGTGTCATTAGTTATAGAAATCTATGTCTTTATACTCTTTTCAAAGAAAAGCACAGCAAAACATATATGTTTGTGGAAGTGAAGGAGGTGCAGGAAAGTTCGGAACAGGAATGCAGGCATCGGGTCCGGCCTGAGAAATAATGAAGATGCTCTGATTTTCCCTCCTAATGAAAACAGGTGTTCTCAGGCCATACAAGGCAGATAATCTTCTATCACGACTTCCTAAATGCTATGTATTTTGTACAATGACACTTCACGGTAAAACGAGAATATCATATGATAACTGAGGGGCACTTTTAGAAAAAGTGGATGAAACCTCAGTTCCATACAGAATTGTGAAGCTGTCACCCGCAGTAAGTTCACAGTCTTCATGCTGACTTGGCATGTTCAAGTCAACAGAGACATGGTGAAAAGCTACTGTTAAATACCAAATTTCCTCCACTACTCTCAAGACTTATCACTATGAAATTATTAAGAAATTGGGAATACATAGCAAAGGGAGGAAGCAGCTGAAGGACCCACACATAGCTTTTATAACTGAGATCTGCCCATACAATACAGACCTGAGATGAAGTGTCTGGATTATTAACTGTAAAGGTACCATGAACATATTAGGGATTTGAAAAATGCCCTTCACTTCTCAGTGAAGTGTAATAAAAAGTGTGGACACTAAAATTTTCTGAGTTTTGACCTATTTTTTCCTTGGAGGATGGAAGGAGGCAATTACTGGAGCAGGCAACAACAAAAATTTATTTTAGTGATAATTGATTTCTCACTCAAGATACAACACACTTTCTGCTTACACCTTTTGAGTGAATGCTTCTGGGGTCCTATGACAACACCTAAAGAACATTACATAAATACATATTGATAAATATCTTCTAGAACTTTAATCTCTTAACAAAACCTCAGCAGGACACTTTCCAAAAACAATATTTCCCTTGCAGCAATTCTCTGTGATTTTATTTGTAAGTTCTATAAACGAGACGTTCCAAAACCTTCCATGAGATCCTTTCAATCCAAGCAGTTCTGCTTTAATTTGCTTTATTTACGATTCAGCTTATGTGTCTATTTGCACAAATAGACACATAAGTATCTAAAAGTAAAAGACTATTCTTCTAGGAGACAAAAGTATCTCTCAAAGTATGACAGGTGTGATCCAACATAATACTACTTTCCATCTTTTAAACAATGGTTTTCTCCCTTTATACAGAATGCTTTAGATATAAACAGGACAGATTGTTGGTCTATGCCTGAATAAACTTATCACCACCACTCAGGCTGCCACCCAGTGAGGCAGGAGATAGTAGGGGACAGACCAAGCCAGAGCCAACACTGTGTTTTTCAGGATGGCCAAGAAGACATTTTCATACAAACCCTGATGACCAAAGTTTTTCAGACAGATGTGGTAACTGTGGGTTTCTACAGAAGCCCTATTGGAATCAGCATTAAGATAATGGAGAATATTGCTTGCTACAATGGTGAGTATGCCTCTGGGAGGCACACACGTGCGTTTGCACACTGGATCATAATGGTAAATATGTTCTCTAAAGGCTTAAGACATACTGACTCTTAGACTATACGTAGATATTAAATTTTTATCCTGATAAATCCCAATTCTAAGGTGACTAAAATGTAATACTCTTATATAAGCATATATACATTAGCCATATACATATGGTTTGTACTGATGAACTTTAATAGAACTGAAACTGGATTAGAGACCAGGTCTCCTGATTCTTGAGTGGGATTAACCACTGATGATAATACTGAACATTATGTTAAACCGGAGACTACCCTGAGCATTTTCTATAAAACCTTATTGTTCAATACACTTCTCAGGTCCAAATTATTCTCCTAATGTTACACAAGAGGAAACACTACACAGGAAGGTAGGACAACTTTCTCGGGTCTCAAAGATCAGAGGCAGAACTGGGATTCATTCTACATTATCCAGCTCCAGGGTTTAACTGAGTTACTGTACATGAAGTAGAATTAGAAAATAGTTTTTTAACATTAATGTTTCTGTAACCAGCTCCTTGGACTTTACATTTAGGAAGTCTCAGTGGACAGGGGACATAGAAACATGCCAAAGCGGGCATATCATTAGTTGAAAGGCATTCCAGCATCAGAATAAAAACCTTGAGTGATTATACTTCTTAGTACATGCAAAACTCCTGGCATATTCCCAGCTTGCACACTAAATTGCAAAATTTAAAAAGGTAATGTCCAGGCAGATTTGTGAGCAGCTTAGGACTGCTTAGGTATGTTAAGTTTTAACATTTTCATCATTCATGCTGGTCAAAGGTCACACTAGAAAATTAAGAGAACTCCACTCAGAACTGTAATATAACTATTGCAGGGTGGCAATGTAGACTGCTATTTTAAAGGGAATCCAGGGACTGGCACACAGTCCATTTTGCCACCCCCCACTGTACCCTCCAAAATCAGATGTGCCTGCATAGGTAACAAAACACACACATTCCAAATGTCCAATATGCCAAAGCACAAAAATTTGCTCTGTGCAAAGACATGTAAGTAAAATTCTATTCTATGGGAGACTTTTTTTTTTTTAAGATGTACTGAAATACACTGCTGAGGGGAGCAGCAGCAGGACTGTCAGGAGAGGTCTGCCACACCATGTGGGTCACCCTCCTGGCCGGGGATCGAACTTGTGCTCCAGTGCTTGCAGATAGCTTCATGGCACTGTGCTTTAACCCGCTGCACCACCAGGCAGGGCCCCATGAAATGTGGTCTTTTTGAAAGAATTTTTGGGCAATTCTATCAGGAAATATGAATATGCTCTAACAACTAGAAAAGAACATTTTTTTCCCTCCTAAATCCTGACAATGAAAAGAAACATTAAAGTCATATTATGTTAAATGGCCAAAACAGTGATTCAAATGTCAGGAAAACCTAATACAGGACATTTCCTGATTTCTGATACTCAATATTTTAATAAGCAATTATTCATTACTTTTATGCAAATATTAAGGATCTCTCCAAAAGATAGGACAAAGAACCACAAATCTGTTTAATGTTATACTGTAAAACTGATAGTTAATTTACCATTCCAATACATTTTCTGAGGATGCTCCAGATACTGAAGTCATTTCTGGAAAACATTGGGGAGGGCAAACTTGTTCTGAAAAAGAAAAGAAAAATTTCATTTTAATGCCACAGACATTTAAAAGGAAGAACTGTCATGCACGTGAGAGCCTCAGGCATACCCAGACAGACACACCTTCAAGACATCCACTGTCTTCGAGGAAAGCAATGTCAACCTGAGGCTGCACCTCTGTTCACTGTAATCCTGGACCCCAGGAAAAGTTTGCAGCAGACTGACTGATCCTAAGTCTTTGGTATTGTTTGGATCTGAATTCCCCAAACCTTTGTCGGTGGTGCCCAGCAATCAGCCCATCACAGAGGGACCCTGTTACTTAGTACAAGACACAACTTCCATATGCTGATACTTAATATTACTTTACTTTAGGGCTAAATAATGTGACTGAAATGCCACTAACAGAATCTGCCTTAAGATTTTTAGAAAGTAAAAGGGAAAAAGCTAACTGTATGAGTCAAAGTAAAACTTAGGCCCTGCATCAGTATTTTTCTAAAGCCTGACATCAACACATTTGGTAACTCTGGATATACTGGAAAATCCCTTACAAATTAACTTCTACAGGAAGAGCGTTATCAAAGCCCTGCAGAGGGTTAGAAATAGCCAGAGGGCCCTCCATGGTGGTGCAACGGGTTAAAGCACAGCACTACGAAGCTATTGTAGCCACTGCAGCACAAGTTCAATCCCCAGCCAGGGGGGTAACCCATGTGGCGCAGCAGACCTCTCCTGACCCACCCACTGCTCCCCTTAGCAGTATATTTTGTCAATCTGCATGTTGTGCTCCCTACTCTGTCTCTGACGAATCTTCTCAACCCCTACACCTTTGGCCTGTACCCCATTTTGTATGTATAAACATTTATTTATACTTATAAATAAATATAAAAAAAGGAAGAAAGAAACAGCCAGAAGGATAGTGACTGTCAGTGGCAGACAGTAACTAGGTTGGACAAGCAGCATTTCAGGTCTCAGG